TTGTTAAGTGTTTGCTAATGACATCTTAATGGATTTTCCGCTACACTGAATCGCTGATACGCATCTGACAAACTAAGGTCAGTGTTGAGATAATAACTTAATAGCAAAGGGGTGATGAATTACAGTGTCTGAAAGCGATTGTAGCCAAACAGCAATTGGTTTTACACGTTCTTGGATTTTTAAAGTAAATTTTGAAATAAAGAAGTTTGTTTTGTTATCTAAAAAAATTTTGGAATATTTTGCTGTAGCAGAGATTGAAATCATGAGGATTTTAAAGAGACATGTTACTACTGTAAGGTGTAGCAACGGTTGGGGTTTAAAGTAATCTATTCAAATATGAAATTGCTATAAATTAGCATATGTATTTTTCTTTAATTATGTTCAGTCAATATATTCATATTTAAAAAATAAATGAAATAAAAACAGTGAAATATTTAAAGTGATAATAAATTTAAAATTTTTAAAATACAAGTGATGTTTGATATAAAATATAATATTTGTTTACCTTCAAATTGAATTCAACAATTTTTTTTCAGTCGTGTATTTTGTCCAGTTGCAATCATTTCATAGCTTATATTTAAGTTATTATCTTTAGATTTAAAAATTGTAAAATTTTTATAAATATGAACAAATTAGACATTTATTGTCTTATCATAAAAATAACTCTTTAAATGTTATCTTTCAAACGTTTTTTTTTTGTATTTAAAAAGACATCACAGCTATCACACGTCTTTGATCTTAACACTCCAATTAATATCACTTTATGCGGTGTTATGATTCGTTCATGCGTTCATACATCATAACAATCTCATTGAGACGTACACAAATAAAAGCAGAGAGTGACGACAATATAAAACAAAAGACTTAAGACACAAGCATGATGTGGTATGAGGCAACTCACTATTATACCCTCCACCATACTATGGACGAATGACGAACTTAATATACTTTCCATACTGTGTATGGTGGAGGGTATTTTTTTATTTATGGAAACGGTACCAAGAAACATACTATTTTAAAGAACAATCGATAAAAAGAGACTAATTTTAAAAACCCACCCTTTTTAAAGCTTATATTTCCCAAGATATATAAAGAATGTGAAAATGTTTTCCCACATTCTCGCATCGAAAATAATTTTTGAAACTAAAATTATTTAAATAATGTTTACTCATTGGGTTCTCGTGAATGCGTATTGTGGCTCTGACGAGTTTTAGAAGCTTGAAGACGGAAATGAATAGCGCCATGGCATTCTTGTTAAAGCCTCGGTTATTCCGTTTGTAACTTCTCGAAATACTCATGTCAGACCCAACAAAGTATATATACAGGGTGAGATGAATAAACTGAAACCAACTGCACCAAACCAAACTGGTAGCATAGCGCGACGTCGAGGAAGTGGACGGACGAGAAAACAGCAACATCAGCAAAAATGGTTCGAAAAGTAAAGTAAACCCACGTCGCAGTGGCCAAAAAAATGGCTCGTGAGCTGAACATATCGCAATATTCCATTCGGCAAATATTAAAAAATTAGCTTGGGGGTAAAGCCATTGAAATTCCAAAAAGTGCAAAAACTTACACCGCAACAGAAAGAAAATAAGCTCAAAAAAGCTAAAGAGTTACTTCGCTTTGCCGAATGTGGTGAACTGTGGTTTTCTCCGATGAGAAAACATTCCTTGTCCAGCAGTTTGTAAACAAACAAAATAATCGTGTCAACTTGCCAAAGAGGTCCGCTGAAAATGTCCACCTTCGGTTGGCCACCAGAACTGAAGCGCCGGCCATGGTGATGGTGTGGGTCGCCATAACAGCCGATAGTCGCTCTCCGCTCGTATTAATCGACCGTGGTATCAGAACAAATGCCGAATATTATCGTGAAAATATTCTGGAGGGTGTATTAAAGCCTTTGCGGCATCAGAACAAATGCCGAATATTATCGCGAAAATATTCTAGAGGGTGTATTAAAGCCTTGGGCACGCAAACATTTTGGCCGCAGACCTTGGACATTCCAACAGGACTCAGCACCATCGCACTCAGCACTCGCCACCCAAGAATGGTTACCAAATGAGGTTTCTCACTTCATTTCAAGCGCACAATGGTCACCAAAATCTCCAGATACCAATCTGTTGAACTATTGTGGCTGGAGTATTTTGAAAACAAGGTTGGCACTAAAAAATACCAAATTGTCGATCACCTCAAGCAAGTTCTTCGCCGGGAATGGGTCAAAATACCTTAGAGCAACATTTGGGCAGCGTGTGACGGTTTCATTGGCCGTTTGAAAGCTCTAATTCGTGTCAAAGGTGACCAATTCGAACAAATCTAAACTTATTCTAAATTTTGATGCTCTTTCTGCCATTTTTTTCATTCAATAAAATTTAAAAAAAAAATGTAAAAATGATGGCGTTAGACTTTGGCGCAGTTTTTTTATCTCGCCCTGATCTTTATCCGATATCAAGTTTATTGTGCACCAAATGACTAACATCAGCCCAAATTGAGTGAATTGTGGCACATCCAGAAGTAGACACATCAAATTTAATGAAAATCGGTCCGGATATAGCTATAGCTTTCATCCGATTTGGGGTTTTAGCTCACTCACAAGCGTAATATGCAGCAATGATATTAGATACCGAACATCAGATGCAGCACGAAAATACCTCTGCCATATTTGATTGAGATCAGTTCTGATTATACCCTACACCACAAGGTGGTCAGGGTATTATGTATTTGTGCATTTGTTTGTAACAGGCAAAAGGAAACGAGATAGACCCATAGTTCCTTTTGATGATCTGCATAGATTCACATTCTGAGTCGATTTATGCATGTCCGTCCGTCCGTCCGTCCGTATGTCCATGTATTTTTGTAAACAAAGTACAGTTCGCATTTATTGCCCTATCCAGATGAAATTTTGCACAAATTATTTGTTTGGCCCAAGGACGAACCCTATTGAAATTGGAGATAATCGGTGAAAATTTAGACATAGCTCCCATATATATCTTCGTCCGATTTGCCTTTTATTGTGCACCAAACGTGTAATAGCAGTCCGAATAGTATGGAATTTTGCACGTACGATCAGATTGGACCTGAAAATAAGTATGCCAAATTTAATCGAAATCGGTTCAGATATAGCTATAGCTCCCATATATATTGTTCATCCGATTTGTTATTTTTGTCCGCAGCCGTAATATGCACTCTGTAACAACAATATTTGGGGAAATATATCAAATACAGCTTAGAAATACATTTGCTAAATTTTATCGAGATCGGTTCAGATTTGGATATAGCTCCCATATATAACTTCGTCCGATTTACCTTTGATTGTGCATCAAACGTCTAATATTTGCCCAAATGGGATGGAATTTGGCACATACGACCGAATTGAGTCCAGAAGTTAGTATGTCAAATTTGGTGAAGATCGGTTCAGATATAGTTATAGCTCCCATATATATTGTTCATCCGATTTATTGTATTTGTTACCCACAACCGTAATATGCACTCCGTAATAACGATATTCAGGGAAATATATCAAATACAGCTCAGAAATATCTTTGCCAAATTTTATCGAGATCGGTTCAGATTTGGATATAGTTCCTATATATATTTTTATCCGATTTCAAATTAATTTCGCACCAAATGGGCAAAATAAGTCCGAATTTAAAAGATACAAATGCTTCGGCATATTTAGTCCTTTGAATTTTAAATTATAATTATAATCATAGCGTGTATGATTGAATTCTCCCATAAAAAACTTTTAATTATTAAGTGGAGCTCAACTAAATTAGCAAAGTGGTGTAGGGTATCATAAAATCGGCCCCGCCCGAATTTAGGACTTTCTTTACTGGTTTCATATTCAACCGAATTTCACTATTTGGTGAAACTCCATCTGGTAAACCTATTGCTCCAATAAATATTTTTTAATATAATCCTTTTTCGAAGTCAAATCATGGACTATACAGCAATGTTATTTGTTAGTAGAGGTAAAAAATCCTCCGTCCTCCCGTTGTTAAAAATCGATTAAATGTTGCATATAGTTCCCAAATTGTGACTACTCTAAAACCATGATACGCATTGAAATAAGGTTCATAGTTGGTGTAACCTACTTCACATAAATTCCCAATACAGTGGTTTCTATTTACCTGCATCAACATTAGCTGCGCATTGGCCTTTGCAGGCCAAAAAACTTTTTTTAAGCCATTTTTTTCTGAATCCCTTTATTTGAATTGTATTTAAGTGCCCAATTGATAGCTGCACATTGGACATTCCTGCCTCGAAAATTTGGTAATTTTTTTTAATTTGGTTACAAAAGTTGTATTTATCTGCACAAGAAAATTTTTTGCAAACTCAAAAAAGACACTAAAAACTACCACTTCGTTTTTGTTTTTGTATTCGCAAAAACAATAACAACACAAGAAAAGATCATGCATTAAAAACATATTCTCGCTTCCTCTCCCACACTAAAAGATGGTTATGCTGGATAAAACACCACTGATGCTCAAATACATACTAATAGAAAATTAAAGATACCTGCACTTTTTGTGCATGTAAGTAAAATTAAAGATACCTGCTTCATTGTGCAGATAAATGCAATGAAGCTACCTGAATTTTGGGCATTGCTGCACAAGAAGTCGTGCAATTTTTGATTGTGCAGGTAAGCAAAAAATACTGTATTAACTTTTTTGTTGCGAGAGCTCTATGCTTAGGGGTGTAGGGTATCGTATAGTTGGCTTTTGACCTTTCCTTACTGGTTTTTATTGAATAATCTATTATTTTCAACCTGCTGGTAATGCAGAAGGTAAATTGTTAACATTACCTTTGAATGGGTTATTTGCCTCATTCGCCTCCTATGCTTTTGTCGAGTAAATATCTTTTGCCGCCCAAAATTTAAATCTCTTTTCTTTTTCAACTCACTGTACTTTAGAAATAATTACTGGCTAATATTGGGATTACATTTTGTAAACGCAATTAAAAACAGTCAATGTAAAACATTGTTTCAATATCATTAGCGGACTTACCTCGTTTATCGCGCAGAGCTGTTGATGTATTCGAACTTGTGATTGGGAGATCCGATAAGTTGGCTTCTTTTGATGGCGCTGATGATGATGATGCAGATGAAGATGGTAATGTGGAAGAGGGTGCAGCGCCGGCGGGGGAGGTTGTATGTTTTGACGTAATTGATGATGATGGTGATGATGGTGATGATGTGGGGGCCACATTTATGGGCGTTACAATGAAGGTACTGACACTGTCATTATTAAATGTATTTTTGGTATAACTATGACTAACACTATTGCTGTTGCTATTGCTGCTGGTACTGCTACTGGCACTGTTACTACTGTCACTTGTGGCCGCAGCAATATTATTAATGTCATTAATGTTAATGTTGCCCATCAGATGGCCACTGTGACTAATGTGACCGTTACTGTAACCATTGGCCAAGGTAATGGCAATTAGAAGTAAGACTGGAAATGGTCTCATTTTGTGTGTGTGTGTTATTCTTTTGGTTTTGCAGACACCTTTGAAAAAAATCTCAGGCCGAATGATGATGCTACTGTTCTTAAATTTCAAAATCTCAGCTGCCAAGTGTTCTTGAAATGTTTTTTTTTTTTCTGGTCTTTATGATGATGTAAATGGCCTTTCTTGAAATGCCAGAGGCACTTTCCTTTAAAAAAAAACACGTTAACACTTGTTAACGGCCTCCAAATGTCTTGACAACTGACTGGTGTAACCAAATATCCGAATCGTTTTTTTGGTGAAAGGCCAACAAAAAAAAAAAGATTGAAAATTTGAATCTAAGGTTTCTGTGCTTGTTTAGCTGTGCTTCAATACCGGCTGCCACCGAAGCGACCAAACACCAGTTTTGTTGGGGTCTTTAACATGGATATTTGCATAGGTTTAAATGTTGTTGTTGTTATTGTTATTTGAAAACTTTCTTATTATTATTGAAATTTTCATGAATTTTTTTAATATCAATAACGTAGGCCACTTTCTTTTTGTATTTTGCTTTGATGTATGTAACAGATTTGAATATTATCACAAAACTTGTTTTCTATTTAGATTTCACTACTTGAAACATCGAGTTTTTGTATTTTTTTCTGCTTCTCCTTTTTTGTTTTTTTTAATGCAATACAAAATATCACGGATTTTTTTCAAACAAAAAAAAATTTGATTGATAACACTTCACTTTTGTTTCGTATGCGTTGTATCTAAAAACCGGGCAAATGGCCTTGCCCTTCAAAAAAATATTTTGGGTTTCGGGGATTAGAAGTAATCTCTCTAGACAAAAATAAAACACCTGCGACTCAGTCCTAGGTTAGATAAGAATGCGTTAATTGTAACAGCTGCAGCTCCACATCAGAGGGGGCAACAAATGCCTGTTCAAACATCCCCTGAAGCCAAATGGCCAAAAAAATTTTGTTTACAATTTACAGGAAAACAGCTGGACAAAAGCTCACCAACACTTGCATATTTTCCAACAATTTTGGGCATAACTTTCTTTGGCTCTCAAGAAACATGATTCAAAGCTTTACAAAATGTTGTTTTCTCTTCAGAAAACCACAACACAAATCTCTTTCACAAATCTCTCATTCACAACAAAATTCTCTTTTGTTTTCACACTCTCTTCTCTCTTGCATGGATCTGTTCATCCAAATCACAACTTGTTTCTTAAGTCTGTCGAAAACACGATTTCATTCCACCAAAAACCTTCGATGCAACCGGACACACACCGAAAGAGAAATTGTCGTGTTAATCTTTAGCGCAGCGTTCGTTTCTTCGCACTTGCTTTCGTTGTCGTTACGGCACTGAGTTTGTTTTCTTGTTTGAGGCTAAACTGTCTGTGTTGGCATCAACCAACTCGAATGTAAGACTGAACAGTCTATTCACAGACTGGTTTTCTTGGCAACGGCAGCATCATTGGCTAAGACACACACAGAGCACCAAACATGGTTAAAGCCCTAGGCCTCTCTTGGCAGAAACAGATCGCTGTTCTCTTTTTTTCGCGGCGTTCTCTTGTCACATATATTTTCTTACCCAGATACCTATATTGCATTTTGAAGAGCTAAAAGTGTTGCTCCATGCATTTTTTGTCTGTAAATATTGGTTCAAATATCTAATCGAGATTTCGTAAACTATTTTTGAAGCATTATGTTGTTGGTGTTTGCTTTATGATGGTCCATTGATTTCCTAGATTCATTGCACAGTGGGCATATTGAAAATATTTTGTTTCTTGCTAAAAACCTGTTTCATTATGATCCAAATAAACACTGAAGAAATTTCTGGGCGTTCTTGTGATGTTTAAACTGCAATCAGAACGGAATTCGAATATTTTAAACATTTCAAATATGAAAACCAGTTTCTGAATACTTTTAAAAAAAAATCTTTAAATAGATCATCAATTATCCCATTCGTTGCAAAGGCATTTGATTTCTATTTTTTATCAATCATTTAACTGCGACATATGCGATTAAGTTAACAAACTATTTTATATCTGGGAAATTTCTTACAAGTGTTAGGATGTTCTACCTAAATAAAGCTTCTCCAGATTCTTCTGAAACCCTTTAGAAGGTAATTGTCCTTTTACTATATCATTTTTTCTTTAATTTATTACGGTTATTTCATTTACTTAATTTTAATTATATATTATATACAAGCAAGTGCCCGCTACTTCGTCAGTGAAAAGTCCATCATAATGTTTATACCCTACACCACACAGTAATAAGGGTATCTTCTATCTTCTATATCTATAAAAGAGGAAAATGTTTGTATGTTTGTTTGTTTGTTTGTTTGTAATTTATGGACTCGAAAACAGCTGAATAGATTTTTCTGAAAATTTCCATATATACTGCAACATCGCCTGAAAGTAACATAGGCTATATATATTTTTGAATTTCCACTTGGAACTGGAGATATAGCATCAGAATCGGAGGTACCTCCCAAAAATTTAGATTTTATATGCACATATCTATTGATTGGTTGAAGATACAGTCTCCAAATTTGGAATACGTAACGTAATTTGGAACAAAAATAAGTTACCCAAATTATATTGTAATCGGTTCAGATTTGGATATAGCTCCCATATATATTTTCGACCGATTTCGTTCATTTGATGCCTCAAACACAATATGGATGTTCGATTCCAATGAAATTTGGAATGTGTGACGGGATTTAATCCGAAAATAAATTTGTCAAATTATATTGAAATCGGTTCAGATTTGGATATGGCTCATATATATATTTTCGGCCGATTTCAAGTAGTTGATGCACCAAAAACGCTATGTATCCCCAATTTCAATGAAATTTGAAACGTGTGATAGATTTTATGTAAAAAATTGATTTCCCAAATTATATTGAAATCGGTTCAGATTTGGATATAGCTTCCATATACATTTTCGGCCGATTTCATGTATTTGGTGGACCAAACACGATATGTATGTTCGATTCCAAAGAAATTTGGAATATGTAACGGGATTTTGATTAGAAAATAAATTAGTCAAATTATATTAAAATCGGTTCAGATTTGGATATAGCTCCCATATATTTCCCGATTTCACATATTTGATGCACAAAACACGATACGTATTTCCGATTCCAATGAAATTCGGCATGAGTGACTAAATTTGGCATTAAAGTAGTGCAATAATTTTTTTTTTAATTTTTAAATTTGTTTTTTTTTTTAACCAACATATATTCGTAAATAAAATTTTGAATGCATATAAAATCAAAAGGGGTAGCGAAGCGCACCGGGTTCAGCTAGTTATGTATATTTGTTTGTATATTTGTTTGTAACATGGAGAAGGAAGCGAGATAGACCCATAGTTACTTTTGAGGATTTTTCATAGAATCACTTTCTGAGTCGATTTATGTATGTCAGTCCGTCTGTCCGTCCGTCCGTCCGTCCGTCTGTTCATGTATTTTTGTGAAAAAAATGCAGGTAGCATTTACTATCCGATTGAGATGAAATTTTCCAAAAAATATTTGTTTGGACCAAGGATGAACCCTATTGAAATTGGTGAGAATCGGTTCAAATTTAGATATAGCTCCCATATATATATCTTCAATCGATTTTGGTAAATTGTGCACCAAATGGCCAATATCAGTCCAAATTACCTGAATTTTGGCCAATCCAATCGAATTCAGTCTAGAAGCAAGTGCATCAAATTTGGTGAAAATCGGTACCGATATAGCTATAGCTCCCATATATATGCTTCATCCGTTTTGGCGTTAAAGTCCCTCACATTCGTAATATGCACTCCATAACAATGATCTTTTATCTTTGATACAGCCCAACAATACTTGTTTCAATTTTTTTCAAGATTGGTTCAGATTTCGTTATAGTTCCCATATATAACTTCGACCGTTTATTGTGCACAAAATGGCTAATATAATTTCAAATGCACTAAATTTTGACACTTCCGACGTAATTCAGCCTAGAAGCAAGTACTTCAAATTTTGGGTGAAAATCGTTTTAGATATATCTATAGTTCCCATATATATATTTCATCCGATACATCCTCCTCAACAATGACATTTTATACTGGACATCAGATGAAGCTCGAAAATACCTCTGCCAAATGTTGTCGAGATCGGTCCAGATATTTATATACCTTTGTACATCTTCATCCGATGTTACGGCTATTTTTCAGCATATATATGTAATATCAGCCCAAATAGGATAGAGTTTTTATACCCTCCACCACACATAGTATGGAGGGTATATTAAGTTCGTCATTCCGTTTGTAACTCATCGAAATGATCATTTTAGACCCAACAAAGCATATATATTCTTGATCAGAGTAACATTCTAAGACGATTTAGCCCTGTGCGTCCGTCTGTTGTAATCACGCTACAGTCTAAACGAATTAAGATAGGAAGCTAAAATTTTGCACAGATCTCTCTTTAGTCTGCAGGCAGGTCAAGTTCGAAGATGGGCTATATCGCTCCACCATGTCGTATAGCTCCATATAACGGTACCACCCGATATTCGGTGTTTTGATGATTTTAGCCACATTTTCTAATGGAATGGTCTGATAATCCACAGAAGGAATACCTTGTGGGTACTTTATACCACGGAAGAGAATTATCTATATAGGTCCACGATATCGTATAGCCCCCATATAACCCCCCCCCACGATATTCGGTATTTTGATGATTTTAACCACATTTTCTAATTGAAATTGAAATTTTACACAAGGAGTTCTTTGTGAGTTCTTTACTTCCTGAAAAAAGGTTGTCTATATAGGTCCACGATATCTTATATCCCCCATATAACGGTACCCTCCAATATTCGGTATACAGCGACCCTAATACCAAATTTCAGCTGTTCACCCAATACCAAATTGTACCAAATATAGTACTAAACAGTACTTTTCTCGCACTTGTAGTACATATTTCAAAGCCACCTATTTATTACAAAACAACCACAAAAACAAACCTACCCCAATACAAAATTTAAAAGTTCCAGCTTCATTCGTTCCGTTTCAGCTTCATCAATGTTTCAAATTTGGTACCATTTAGTACAGGCCACACAATTAGTACACATTTCCAAAACCACCTCCTTATATCAAACATACTTTCATGCACTCCATCTTATTTCATTTGACCAATACAAAGTATTAAATTTTTAATAGATTACCTTTCAGTGCGAATTTTCAAAAAACGAGCCTTGTCACACGCCTACTCACCAGACTGACCCTCGTGCAAAATTCCAATGTTATAGCTTCAGCCGTTTCGTCTGGGCCTTGATACTCAATCAGTCAGTTTGTTTACTACTCTGCCCACCTATCTCTCTGTCCGTCTTTAGCTTCCAGCACGCGCCACCCAAGTATGGTTTTAAATGAGGTTCCTCGCTTCATTTCCAGCGCACAATGGCCACCAACATTTTTCGGGATATCAATCCGCTAGGTTGGCACTAAAAAATACCAAAGTATCGATCACCTCAAGCAAGCGCTTCGCCGGGAATGGGTCAAAATACCGCTTACGGGCAGCATGTGACGGTTTCATTGGCCGTTTGAAGGCAATAAATTATGCCAAAGGTGACCAATTCGAACAAATCAAAACTTATTATACGATTTAAAAAAACATTAAAAAAAAAATGTAAAAATTATGGCGTTTGACTTTGTTGCAGTTTTTGTATCTCACCCTTGATATTCGGTATATTGATGACTTGCGTGATATTCCCCAAAAATTGTATAAAATTTGGTATTTCGGATTTGTAATAGATACTGTACCTCCCTATATTCGGAATTTCGACACACTTTTTACCAGAATTGTTTTAGGAATTCTTCAAATTATAGCGGAACTTTTCAACGGTTTTTACAATTTTTTTAAATTCCTTCCATATGATGGAGGCTATTAACATTCGATTCGGCCGAACTTAGCCTCTTTATTACTTGTTTTATTATTTTATCTGAACCCACTGTCTTCGCACATTAGGAAATCTGTTTCTATCTATTTTTTATTTTTTTATGCATTTATTAACATACCTTCGAGCAAAGCAAAGAGTAGGGGTAGGAAGAAACATATTGCTGTTAATTTTATAATCAAAAATAGAGATCGCAAACAATACGAGTAGCATACTCGTAGCCCAATAACTAGACGAACGGGTAGAGTGTTCAAAAAACAACAATATTTTACAACAACAGAACCACTTTAGTTAGGCCGCAAATCAATTCAGACGATAAACAAGTGAATTTCTTTTGTTGTTTGCCATCGATAATTGCAATAGCCATTAATTTTTTTTGTTTCGAGATAAATGAGGATTGATTGAACTGAAATGATTTTTAGATTGGAGGAATTTTTGCGAAAGCCCACTCGAAGTCGTGGCATTAGAAAGTGATTTTAAACAATATTAGGATATTTACTTTTCAAATT